AAAATCACAAGTTTAAAATGCTCGAAAAGAAAGTCTGAGAAATATCTGTCTCGTGTGGCCGCATGCGCCACCATGTGGCGCACGCAGTGCATTGCACGCGCGGCCACACGTGCTCGCCAGCGCAAAAACGGCTTGGTACGCAATGTGTTGATGAAACTTTTCATGATCAACGCAATTTCTACAAGAGATGAACCCTTTAAAATGCAAGAGGAATTTCATTTTCATATTCACTCTAAATCTACATCATATCAGCGTGAAAAACTATGATCTATCCTTCGAGTAAGTGAATCCTCTACATGATTCGCAAAAGGTTATGAAGACCAACTTAATCGGCATATTCCTTCTTAAGCGTAACACAACCCTTCAACCTGTTTGACTTCGTAACAGTCCAATACAGATGGTAACAGTAAGGTTCAGAAAAACATTAAGGAAATAGGAAACGAAAATTAAACGAAAATACCTCGACAAGACCGTGAAGATATCGCGTAAACCTGTATAGAACGGAAAGGTTGAGGGGACCGAAATCGCCATAGAAGGGCTCATAATGCACCTGTCCTCATATGTAGTTTCGACTCAACCAAAAAAAACTATTTTTTTTCTTATTAGCATTACCATTCTACTTGCCTACATCTGTCACAAATCAAAGGAAAACTAACACGGTTGTCCAGATCGATATAGCGAACATGTGGATCAGCTTTGTGAGGAGGTACTTTGAATGATGCGAAATAAAGCTGTTTTGGAAGCAGTTCGACGACGTTTCCGCACAGTGAACCGCTTAGAACGATGTCGGAATTGGTCACCATGCCGCTCGCAGTTCATATACCAACTTCCGTTAGGCTGCTGTCAGAGCGTGTGCTTCACTCCGGGATAGAAAGCGACTTTTTCGCGTTTCACAGCGCGGAACATTTTTCTCTGCAGCAGGTTAACGGATGATCATGGGTGGATCTGTAGTTCCTGGAGCGAAAAACACGCCGCAACACGCGAAAAAGTCGTTTTCTATCCCGGGGTGAACGACACCCGACTGAAAATACGCGTTGACACTAAAAGATGTGACATGAGTAGAGAAAAAGAAAACAAAAAAAACCACGTCAAAATCTGAGCTAAACAATAGGAAAGCAGCATGTACTCCAATCAGAGAAAACACAGAATTAGTAGTATTGTAGAAAACTAACGCCATAAAATCATTAAGTGAATCCAAGTGAACCACTTCATCACCCCTTCGTAAACCTTCATCCGCAGAAAAAAAGCGAATAGAGCTGGAGTTTATTTTGATTGAAGTTACGTGAGATGCTTACTCATGCTTACTAAACAGAAATTTCGATCAGAAATTCGGTGAAAAAGCGGAGAAATCGCTCAAAAAAATGCAAAATGGGGAGCCCTTACCGTTGGTTTTCACCTGTGAACAGGTGACAGCTCAGAAAAAGGGCGTATGAATGAGTTGATCGTAAGGCGTTTGGTAACTCTATACCAACTACACTCCATTCGAATGCTCCTGTTACCACTTTATCCTAATCGCTGCCTCTAAGGACATTTGGATGCAGTACCCGTGTTTGGATTCGAGTGCTTCTCCAATCAGCTAGTCGAGGAACATATGTTGCCACGATTGCAACGTTGTCTCCCTCGAGTATTCTGGACGCAGCAAATCAAGTCTACAGTGTCTGGAGATATTCAATTTTCATTGCCTATTTCTGTCTATAAATTGTCTATTGTATTAAGTTGGAATCTAGCCATAAGGCTCTTTTTGTTGTTTCTCTATCTTTAATCACAAGATAATGGTGCATTTACACATAATTAGCAACAGCCCAGCGGTTTCTTCTATTTTCGTGTTTACACAAGTGTATAATATACATACTTACGTTGAACGCTAAGCATTTAAGTGGCGAGAGATTACGATAGGATTCTGTGCTCATAGTGGAAGTGAAGATGCTGAATAATGCCCTAGTAGCGAAAAAAGCAAAGAAATCCGTCAAAAACGCGCAAAATGGGACCACTTCCTCTGCCCGTTGACCTCCGATAATGGACGAGTTGGCAACCAACTAAGAGGTCGTCGGCACTCGTTAAACCATAGCTGCCATCATACCACCAGAGATCATACCTTGATTGATATAGCATTCCATGAGAGAAAAATTGGATACGCGCTCGAAGTGGCATACCTTATCAGAATGATAATCGAACAGCGATCTGCTGAGGGGCGGAGCACAGGCGGAGGCGGAGCTCAGAAAGGATTGGCAGCCCCAGGGCGCTGCAACGAGCGCACCTTTAGTCACAAAAAGGCCACATCTAGATTCCTTTGGCTCTGGCTACTGCTTGAAGTGCTGCTCGTTCTTCCATAATGCACAGAAATTTTATCGTAATTTCTCGCTTTAAGTGGTTATAGTTACAGTTTTCACCATTTGTCTCGTTGTCACTATAGCAAGTACGGTTTTTAGCATTACCATTTTGGGTTCATTATGATCTTGTGACCAAGTTATCCGTTTCATTATTTATTTATTTATTTTTTCTTGGTAGCACACAGTCTGCAACTCGGTCATCCAATGCATATTAGTTTAGCCTGTCAGACTAGCTTTATCATACTTCTATTCACTTTTGTTATAACTACGGTTTGCCTGAAACCAGGACCACGACCCTCAATTTTATAGTGTTATATAGTTTTCCGTTAAAATGTGTTTTCACGTTAAGAACCCCAAGGTTCCTTATGTACGTTTCTTCTAGGAATATTTTATTGTATGCGACACGACAGCACGATACATAAAGCCTTCAAACCGCCGCTATTTTGTTGCGTGAAACTAACAACGTAGGTTTTGTCGTGAATATTGAAGACGAAACAACCGCTTCAATCCTTGTTCTCAGAGGAAATCTGCATTTCCGTTCTTTCCATTGTACCCACGATAACTGTAACTGTTCATTATGCAGTATGCGTTCAGAATTTCATGGAACTAGGAGTAATAGGGACAAAACTCGCTGTCCGGTTTTGCGTCCTGATCAGCGAAGTTCCTCAGGTGTCTTTCACTCATGATTCCACTTATGCCTCTGCGAAAACCATTGCTGAATGGCTGGTCGACTTTCCAGTAGCATTGGTCCGGTCGCCACCAGAAAATATTTTTATCAGAGGAACCCACTGATAAATGAAGCCCATCATGGGATCGACACAACAGCTGTGCATTCAGTTCAATTCGTTCACATCGGTCACATGTGAGGCCTTTTCATGCTGTGAGCCTTTCTGTAAAAGTGTATGCAAACGTCGGAAAGAATGCGCTCGATAACTGCGACCAAACGACGGACTGAGAAAGTTTGATCCCAGCGCTTCTTTCTACGTGTCTTTGAGATATTGCTCACTTCAAGGTCTATTGATTTTGGTGGATAGCCTATGGGTTTTCGTAGCGACGATTAGAGGAAGTTCCGTGGAGCCTTGTAATAGTCTTGCAATGTAAACAATCATACAATTCGTCGGTGAAGAGAGTGTATGTTTCTCGGAGAGGTAGATTGTCTGTTCTGAAATTTATACATCTCGTCTAACGAAATGTAGGAGGAAACTCTGAATTATTAGAGAAGATACACAAATGTACTAAAATACCCTTACTGTTCAGAATTGAAAGTTGCCAGCAGCATGTTTTTGTAGCCAAATTTTTATGACCTTTCTAATGTTAGGCAAACTTGAAAATACATTAGTTAGATGGAATGAAGTGCTCGCCTTTTTTACGAAAACGACCATTCCTCGAAACAAAAAGCACGCGCAATAATAGAATGGCTGGCTATAAGATAAGCCAGAGGCCAGGGACTTTAATGTTACCAGTTGGCGCCGCACGCATTGCGCGCGCAACACAGATCTGCGGCGAATTTTGATGGTGCGACGAAAATTTTCAAATTTGGCTTGATACACCACGAATATCTGAATTCTCAGCTAAATTCTATCCGCTCCATCATCGACGGCTTTCAACCTTTTTTCTTCGTCAACCATTATCCTCTTTTTCTCGGTCTCCGGACTGCTTCCGGACAATAAATCTCGTGGCAAACTCCGCCTACTTCGGTGCGTGCCCCGCCCACCAATAGCATTTGGCCCCCTTCCTTTCGCCGACCTCTACCCCTTTTTTCACCGGTCTCTGGGACCTCTTGGAACCAAATTACGACACTTTTGGCAAACTCCGCCCACTTAGGTGCGTGCTCCGCCCACTAATAGCAGTTGACCTCCTTTCCTTCGCCGACCTCTACTCCCTTTTTCCCGGCCTCCGGGACTTCTTGGAGCCGAGTTATGAATTTTCGTCGCAAACTCCGCCCACTTTGGTCAAGCCCCGCCCACCGATGACAGCTGGCCTCCACTCCTCCACCCACCTCATCCACCTTTTTCCCGGCCTCCGGGACTTCTTGGAGCCGAGTTATGAATTTTCGTCGCAAACTCCGCCCACTTTGGTCAAGCCCCGCCCACCATGACAGCTGGCCTCCACTCCTCCACCCACCTCCATCCACCTTTTTCCCGGCCTCCGGGACTTCTTGGAGCCGAGTTATGAATTTTCGTCGCAAACTCCGCCCACTTTGGTCAAGCCCGCCCACCATGACAGCTGGCCTCCACTCCTCCATACACCTCTATCCACCTTTTTCCGGCTCTTTAAGACTTCCCCGGCCCGAATTATGAGGACTTGTAGAAGCGCGCCCGCCACATTCAGGGCGGGCCTCCGCCCACGTCATGTATGCAGGAAACACCTTAGACATTGCTCCCTTACACCAAATTGTTTTCTGCTCTGTAGGCTTTCTCCCAACCGAGTTATGAAATTTTTCATAAAGCACTGCTTTTTTGGAGAACGCCCCGCCCACCGGGGGTGGGTCTCCCTAATTCGATGTGACTTACCAATGCACACCTTTACCCACTTTTTGGCCCAGTTTCGAGGTCGTTTTGTCACTGAAATCGAAATCTTGGTCTTCGGTACAATTCATTTCGACGCACGCCACGCCCTCTGTGGGCGGGGCTCCGCTTAGCTGATGTGTGTTTTGTATTTCGTGAGACCTTGCCCACCCATCCCACACTTGACCCGGTCCCTCCAGGCGGATCCCGAGGAGCTAGGGAATTTCGTGACAGACATACAGAACGACAGACAGAGACAGAACGACAGACGAAGCGCTTTATAGTAAGTAGGATAACTAAGATAAGGTCAGGCTCAATCCAATTACCCTTAGACTACGGCTTTTCTGAAATTATGTTACTGATGCGTTCTATACAGTAGCTATCGCTCCTTGCAACAACTAATCACCTATAGAAGTTTGGCTGACGTACGCTGGATTTGACCTGGGATTTTGATCCAGGGACTATGCGCGCGGTAGCGGCCCTCTTGTCACCACACCATCACCGCTCGAATGAGTATTTTTGAAATGTAAATTGGCAACTTAATTAACAATTACGAATACACAATTCCATATCTCATTCGTGGAACAAAGCCAATGTCCGGTAGCGACCACACTTGGGTAGAATTGCAAGCCGCACTCTGTAGAAGCGCTGCGGGTCTGACCGGGTGCTTCTGCTCTAACGAGTTTTCGTCGTCTTCTACTGCTTCAAAATCTGTGTCGTCATAGTAGTCTTCTAATTTTCTATTCCGCACCATCGGAACTGTCAGAATCTTGGAAATTGGAATCTCCAACACTGTCGTGGAACGCCGTGTAGTGTTCGGACTGTTCGGTTGAGAAAATGCCCCATCTTTATCGTTCGTTATCGCATGTTGCACCTTATACAAATGTAGTGGGCACTAGCATAATTATTAAGAGTGTGAGCCTTGAAAAATACCTTTCAGGGAGCTGCTTACACTACCAGTACGTG